GGCAAAAGTTCCTCCAAAAAAAAAAAAAAAACCAACAACACAGATACAGAAAGTGAATGCAGCACAATTGGATGTACGGAGTGCAACCAGTGAATCTAAACAAAGACGTCTTCTGCCGGCTAACGACAAATTTGATTTATCGCTTTACGTCAAAATTATGGAACAAGACTTTCTTAATGAATGTATGGGAGATGGAGACACAACAAACACCATAGGTATATATACTATGTATAATTTTCCCCCATCATTAGATAAACAAACACCATAGGTATATATATGTATAATTTTCCCCCATCATTAGATATTTAATTTGGAAAGCCTTGTTAGTAAATGTTTGCGGTCGGACAGTTTTTATTTTATTCTACAGTTAATTTTCATTAAGTCTTTACAATGTCCTTTTCCTTAAACTTCTTTTTTTTATTGCATTTTTCCACTCTTTGTCCTCTTTGGAGCTGCCCTCACTTCCTCCTTACTAATGATTCTGATTCACTGACTGTCCTCAATTTATCCTCCTCTCTGTCTTTATTTCCTCATTCATCAGCCCCTTGTCTGGCCCCGAAGGACTCCTGTCTGACTACTTCATTCTATCATTTACCACAAATACAGATTAGTATTGTGTTTTTAGAGAATCCCTCCCCCATTTCACATTTTATACAAAACATATTGAAAACCATTGACATTTATTGTAAAATCAGTCCTGAACTGAAATGCTACCAGCTGTAAAAAAAGACCCTTAATTATGTTTAGGGTCTGTTATGGGACCACATTTCATTTCCATTTCACACTTTCGGAGTGTAGGGCGTCTGATGATGTGGCATCAACTCACCAATAACTTCTCTGACGCAAATAAAACCTCCAAAGATGTTTCTTGTTCAAGTGGCATTCAAAGTGTCAAGGGCAGACATAAATTAACTGTACCCACCATTTCTTTTTCAGAACTAAACGCCAGTCCCGGACACCTTAGTGAGAGTATTCAGATATTGTGCTCTCAGACACTAAGAAACGTGTTTGTGTTTGTGACAACCCAGAATCTTAAATACCAGGACCTGGATTTTGATTTTCTCTCATTTTCCAATGCTAAAAAAAAAAAAAAAATTGGAGGAAAAGCCCTGAGGCAGACTATTGTAGTCAGAGTGACAGTCCTGTTGACCTGAGTTGGGAGAAGGCTCAAAGTCAACAACATATTTACGTATATAAAATACCAAGTTTCCTCAAAATATCTATGAAAATACTTGAACACAGCATTACAAAATATCCTGACTGGATACTTGGCCAAGAAGTTAGTCTATGCAGCTGCAAAAGTAATCCTTAGGACACTTGGCTACAAGACGAACACCATAAACAACAGCCCAACTACCATGACAGGAGACTACAGGCAAAACTCCAGGCAGCAGGGAGGGAAGTCAGCCAACTGTCAGAGCTGCAGCAAGGTGAGATGAAGAAGGAATCGTCTAATTGCCTTTGGAGACTGCCAAATGAAAGCTCACAGCCCTGTCTACCTGCCTGCAAATGTCCACATGACAGATAGGGGGCAGGTGACCAAACATATGGGAGAAGGAGGCACTGCACAGCACCAATGCTCAGCCATGCTGATGGACCTGATCGCAGACATCAGACCTCCAAGAAAGATGGTCAAAAACTGAAGCCGAGGAGCTCCCCTGATCTGCACTGGTCTAAACCCTCTTTGAGATCATCCCACAGATACTGCATTTGAAATCAAACAACTATCAGACCACGTTTCTGCACTGATGACATCAAGCTGTACTGAGAGTGAGGGTGATGTAGATCTGCCCATGATCTACAGCAACGATTCTGGAAAGTTGTCCAGTCTGTACGATCAAGGGAGGTTGAAGAACTGGAGAACTACTTGAAGGCAGCATATAGATGCACTCTCCCAGACCACCATGGGCCATAATGACACTATGGTCATTATAAGAGCAAGTTAACAGTTGTGTATTACATTTAGGTGACACAAAGTGCTCTTGATGTTGCCAGTCCCAAACAAGTACTGATCGATGTAACGTGCCCCACAGTTTGACTGTGTGCATATTCACAGCCAAGGAGCAACGGAATTTCAAAATACAAACAAGAATAATGACATTGTTACTGCAAAATCAAATACCGTGAAATCCCCAACAAATATTAAAACTAGAGACAGCCCGATCCGATACTCACAATCGGCGTTGGTCAAAATTTCAGAATCAAACATTGAAAAACAACAACAACAACAACAACAACAAAAAAACACAACTACAGAATGTTTTGTAACCATACCACAAAAAGACACTATTGCCTCAATAATGATGTCAAAAAGTTGTATCAAGCCATCCCAAAACACATGGAAGAAGACTTTGTTAAAATCAGTGATCAATGAATGTACATACGTACACACACATTTTTTTAATCAAAGATTCTTTATACTGCATTCTTGCTATTGTTACAGCCGATGTGACTTCAAGGACGCATTATAGCGCCCCCTGTGGGGTCATACGTGTTACAGAAGATTATATTTCTCATCTCAGTAGAGATCGACTTATTATACAAAAATAACCCTTAAAGTCGCAAATGCATGGATGTTTCCCAATTGGTGAGAAACTCCCGGTAGGGTTTCTGTCATATTGGTAAGGTAAATGGAAGTTTTAAAATATTCTTGTAATAATCCCCAAAGATTTACACCCACCACGAAAAGTGTACACCTACAACAGTTATTTAAAATATGGAGATTAGGTAATTAATTAATATTCCATTAGTTGGTGCAGGTACATACACTATGGATGATCATATTTGTGTATGTTTTATAATGTCAGATGCAAAACCTATTTGCTAAAACAAAACAAAAATTGGATGTTTAGCGGGCCACCAGCGCCACCTAGAGGGCTGCAAAAAATGTTTTGTACCTGTGGGCTGAGGACCATGGTAATGTATAGGTTATCAACTGAAGACACCAGAGATGTTATCCATGAGAAGCTCAGATGCAATGCAACTTTAGACCATGTGGTGACAGTATTGCATCAGTCAGATCTTTAACAAGCTCCAATTTACAGAGAAGAAGACTCCTCTACGCTAGCTGTAAGCAAAACAGATAGAGAAGTTTTTCAAACTAAAAAAAGTCGTGCTATAGGGAAGGGCAGAAGTGAGCCCAACAGTCTTTTGGCTACAGATGCATGTTGCTTAGCAACAGTGGCTACTGTACTTCTTCACGGAGGCTCTCAATAAGTCGTCATATCATTAAACTAAGGGCACTTTGTGTTTTTTTTTTTTTTTGTAATTCATTTTCCTCCAGTGGGACAGCACAATAGACGTCTGCACATCAAAGCATGAGAATTCTTAAAACTGGACTTAGCATCAAAACAGGAGTTACAAGGAATCAAAGAGCACAGCTGCAGCTAAAAGGTTTGCTGCAAATTATGTGACCAACGGTATTGGGTTATTTTTAAGTGAAGTGGTGCCTCCATTAAGACAGGCACTCTGATTGTCGGCAGGAAATTACCCATATAGCTTTTCCTGCCTTTTGTTCTCCACCTTTGAAAATGTCTGGTTTATGATGTGATACTGACATGAAACCAAGAAGCTGTTACATTAAGAGCTGGAGTCAAGAAGCAGGTGGGACCCAAGGGCAGTACTCCAGAGGCTTTTCTTAGTTTCAAGAAGTTTATTCATCGTTCAAAAATTCAAAAAGTATCAACTCAGTGAATTCACAGACCAGGCAGGAGCCGTCATTAGAGAGGAGCAAGAACAAAAACCAACAGGACATGACCACAACACACAACAACAAGGAGTGAGAGTGAAGGACAGAGGTATATATACCCCAGGGCACCAGGTGACACCAGTGAGACTAATCAACAAGGGATCACAGGACACAGGTGAGTGTGATGACACTGATGAACACAGGCAGGAGGGAAGGGAGACAGGCAGACCACAGAGCAGCCTCGTGAAAGATCAACTGCTTAGGTTCAAGGGCAAATTGCGTTGAGAAACATTTGGAACCACAAAGATCAATTTGGCTGTGAAAGGACAGCGGATGACAAATATCAGCATTCACCACAACAAAATAAAGAAAAACTGTAAAAACTAACGCATTCAACCCACTTCACTGACAAACAGAAAGTGGCATTTCACAATAAATATGAGCTTTGACCTGATTTTGCTGAGAGGTTAGCTAGACACAAAACAGGCTAAAATAACTGAGGCGCTCCGTGATGTGATTGGAAATATTGTTGTAGTACATTATTGCAGCACAGTTTATTGCTACTGAAGTAGACGAGACAGTGGATATTTCTACCAAAGTACGGGTGTGGTTTCATGTGAAGTAATTGACATTGTTTGTGAGGACAAAGTACCTCCAACAGCATCTATGAAAAGGTCATATTCTGTACTAAGACTAAAAACATAGTACAGGGTGTAATGTTAATTTAAAGAACATTTAAATTGATTTTGATGACTCCCTGTTCTCTCTAAATCTGAGTACATGCTCATTGAGGACTTTGGTCTTGAGTAGCCAATGAGGCAGGACCTGAATAAACGAGACCTTTAGCAGGATATGTACAAAATGGAATGAACTAGTTTTAAGCAGGATAAGTTTTGGTTGGATGACTTGGTCACAGTATCGGCAGCAGTTTATACATTTTTCTGTCCAGAGTACAGATGAGCAGGAAATGACCTTCTCTAGGGCTGAAAACAAAGAGGATTAAAATCTGGAAGCACAACAAAGTGGTGATACCTCAGTTATTGTCAAGGTGTTGTGGACACGTTCCAAATGGCCTCTTCTTCCTACATCTGGACATTCTAAATCATTGTCTTTATCTGCGACCCAACCCAGTCTTTGGAGAATTTCTTTGGTCGTCTCACATCATGTTTCCCATGAGTTCACGAATAATGTCTATTGACTTTGTTCATGAAGATTTGTGACCTTTAAAATATGGGTCCCCAGAAAAAACTGTTTGGAAAACACTGGTTTTAATGACTCGAGAGAATGACCAGAGTTTGAGAACAACGTCAAAATAATGTGTAACCACGACATGGATGGAATGCAACTTCAAGAGTTTTTATTTTGTCTTGTTTTTTTTCTAAATTGACACCTGTCTGGTTGCCAGTCAGATTTACTACTGCTGTGGCTTGGTGGACAAAGACATACAGGACTGGCAACAGAAGATGACCAAAGTTGTATCATTTTTTTTCGCGTTCAATCTATATTCTTAGTCCTCGATACAACAAGTCTCGATTTTTAGTCTCTTATCTTTTTTTTATTAGTAGATTTTGGATTCATATTTGATTTTTTATATTTTTTAAAGCTTTGCGACATACACTGTGTTGGGTTTTGCATCATGTCGTTTTATCACAGATGCAGTGCTAGCACCGGCAAAAGTTGGCGAGATTTCACAGCAATGCAAAGTCAATTTATAATAGTGAAACAGTACATTTGCCTTCCAAATGAATGAACACATCATATATAACTGAGAGTTGACAAACATTAAAGAATAAAAATAAAGAAATGTTATATCCATGGAATATCACATAGGATTAGGAGCATCAACAGGTTTAGAGCCATAGGTTGAATGCCCTGCATGGAAGTCAGATCATAATGGCACTACATCTGTTCAAAATGTCCAGTGTGCTTGGTGAATCTCTACTGAATCTCCATCTGTGCAACTGTACTCAACATTTACTTTGGATTTCTAGATGGGATGGAAGTGCGGCGTGGCATCGTGGGAACAGGGCTTGGGTTCGGGAAGGAGAGTTTTGCTGCTAATGTCAGAAAAACATGTCGTAATGGGGACTGAGCGTTGTAGTGTTGGTCTGCGGTTGTGTTGGACGGAAGTACTGACGGAGTCGGTTGGTCGTCATTTTGCATTAGGGGTAGTGGGTTTACCAAAGGTTTGAAGAGATTTTGTTGAGTGGGTTGAACCTTTAACCACGGGTGCTGTGCTATCTGCTTCAGGGTGGCCCGGTCCTCAGGCTTCTGAGCCAGACACATGTTTAACAAGTCCCGACAGCGCTGGGACAGCCTAGTGCTGATTCTGCATTTCTTCTCGAGGAATCCTTCAGTGTTAAACTGAGTTGATTTATGTACCATTTCAAAGAGTACCGCACCAAGTTGCCAGACTGTGGTGGGCCCAGCTTCGTAAGACCCATAAATCCTGAACTCTGGAGGAATATATGCATGCGTTCCAGAGTAGGTGCGATAACGATATCGTCTGTCTCTCAAAATACAGCCACATCCAAAGTCAATGACTCGAACTCTTGGGACATGGGAGAGAAGCTGAATGAGGATGTTTTCAGACTTGATATCCCGGTGGAAGATTTTGACAGAGTCCATTTGTAAATATGCTTCCACTAGCTGTTTCATTAGGATTTTTGCCATGGCCTCATTTAATGGACCATATTCTTCTAAGTATTGCAATAAGCCCACACACTGCTCTGGTCTCTCCATGACAAGAAGAATCTCGCGGTCCAGATCGTACCATTCTAACAATGATACGGCTGCTGATTTACCGACTGGCTCTGGTTCACCTGCGGCTTTGCACATAAGGAGCACCTCAAGGGGAATCACGTGTTTTATCCCATTTAATACTATTGATCGTCTCTTCACATCAGATTTAAGGATCTGTTTAATTGCCACTGGTAACTGGTCTGAGGTTCTTGTGCCAGCGTAAACAGATCCAAAACCTCCTTCTCCGATCTTGTGAAGTTGCTTGTATCTGTTGCTAAAGTCGTCCCTGCTAGTTTTGCCTAAGAGGATGGTGCTTTTTTCTTCTTGTTTCATGGATGTAGAACCTCTTGGGCTTTGGAGGGAAACACTGTCAGCATTCCTTCGCTTTTTCCTCGGCCCCTCTACTTTAGAGGATGTCTTTCTCTTTGAAGCTTTCATCATGGTTACCTCAAACAAGGCTTTGTTTGCTTTTGTGTTTCGTGCCATCTGGGTTTGGTGGTGCTGATACTTTTACTGTAAATCTTTCAGAGAGTGCAGAAATGTTAATCAGGTCAACATCAGATAGTCCGAAAAATGATTCATAAAATATTTCAGCTGTAAAAACTGTGACATACTGTCTGATTTGTGTTGGCATGTTCGGCAGGTGATGATGTCTCACCCGCACAGCTTAATCTTTCCTTTGATGTCACATACAGAATAGAGTGCACGCATTAGGGGTAATTACCAACGGAGTCCTTTGAAGTTAATAGGAAAATGATGATGGTATTGTACATAAAACTGTTGTTATCCCTTTCAGCAGTAATAGAAAAGAAATATGCAAATGAAACCAACCGTGCCAGCCAACAGTGCACAGAGACGAGGAGAGGGCAAAGATGAGAAGAATGAAAACTCAGAAGAACAAAGGCACACAAAATGAACTGCAGTTAAACACTATGGAAATGGTGTATGGGAATAACAGGAAAAAATGACTAGTCGATCCTGATCTACTCATTGGACATCACTGCTTTCAATTAACTGTAGGTGTGAATGTCTGTTTGTTTATATGTGGCCCTTTCAATGGACTGTTGAACTGTCCAGAGTGTACGCCGCCCTCGATGAGAGCGCCCTCGCCTGATGAGAGCTGGGATTGGCTAAAGCACACTCCCAACCAGGCAGAGAAATAAGCGGTAGATGATGAGTGGATGATTTCATTCATTCATTCATTCATTCAGTCATCCAGTCAGCAGCATCTTCCAATAGACGGGACAAAAATCATTCCATCACTACGTGTTCCACACCTGGTGACCAAATGTAATTTGCCTGGTCAATCTGTGTTGAGCCAAGTGCGAAGACATTTTGTCAGCGCTCTAGAGCAGCTATGGAGGTAATGACACTGAAACTTTCTGTGAGCTGCATTGTCAGCTCTCCCCTTGGTCTATTAGGCATCTGTTGAGAATCAAAGTGGGGTACAGTAGCTGCAGTGGGCAGAATAAATCACTCAGGTGCTGCTGCTGGTGTTAATCTCATAAAAATGTGTCATATGTGCTTCACTATCTGTAACATTCATATTTCAATGACATTCCTTTGGACGTAGTCCAGCAACTGTCTGCAGTTAATTAAATCTGACAAACTTAATACGCATCGTTCAGATCCTCCACGATCCTTTGTAGCGTTGATGCACAACAGTAAATACAGCAGAGATAATTCACCAAACAAATGTGTGTTTCCCACTGATACTTTGAAAATCAATGTCAGCCACAGTGTTGCTGAGTCAAACTATTTGATATCGGATCGTTCAGCAGAGGTGAAGACTCCGGCTTAGCTGAATGGCTTTAGAGGGATGACTTTGATGTTTCTAGAGTTGTTGGAGAGCTGGACTTCTTGTCCTGAGCATCGGTTAGCTTGAGCATTATTTTTCATTTAGGCTACACATTTTATACAGCATATGTAGTACCTCACACCAAGGTCTTTAGTGACGTCCTGCCTGGGTAAGTCCACATTTTAATAACATTATTATGGCTGAAGAAATCGTCAATATGTTACGCATAAATCTGAGTCGTTACGTTCTTTATTACGTACTTATCATAGAGCAACAAACCTCAGCACAATTCAACCACAGTTTATCTGATTAAAAAGGAAAAAATTAGGGATGTCCGATAATTACTAGCATAATTATGTAACATCTGTAAGAATCATTATCGGTTTTACCTCCGATAATGAAAACCTGATAATGCAATGCCTGGTTTTGCCACAAATGCTGGAATCGCTTGTGTGGTACTGAGAGGTTTACTGCGGAAAATGGTTGCATATATCAGTATGGGTTGATATTGAAACTAGAAAAGTGTTTGGATGATATTGGCATAGTGGGTATTAGCAAAACGTTATTATCAGACAATTTGGATTACAACTGCCATGAATATTCACAATCTGTTTTTGAAACGCCTTTAATAATAAAGCTATTTAACATACATTATGTCTAATACACTGATCCCAACAGACAAACACAGGATGACACCAGAGGAAGTCCACAGTGTACGAGTTCGTCTCTGTGGAACACAGCAGCGTTCTCATTCACGTTCAAGTCATTGCACATCTCGGCAGGAATCCAAAACAAATAAAGAAATAAACAAAGTTTTGGTACATTTGTCGACACAGTGCGTTTGCCGCCGCATTGGAAATATTCAAATTCAAGTTTATATGCACAGTGTTGGTGTGAACGAATGCATTACCACGCCTCGGCAGCTACTTTTGTTTACTTCTCTAAACACTGCGGCTAATCATGTAAATGTCCGTGTGTGTGTGTGTGTGTGTGTGTGTGCTTTCTCCTTTTTTTCAATTTTTATTTTTTAGTTTGTGTTGGTGTTTTGAAAACCATTTGTATTTTTACCATAATATGTACCTTCATAAAACAAAACAAACAAAAAAAAGCGTCTTTTGAATTCCCTGTGCTGATTAGGGCCCAGCAGCCTCAGCATCACTGATTGGGACTTTACCAGCTGATCTGACCGTTGTTCCATACTTCCACCAGGTAAGTATGGAAGGAAACTCTGATGTTCTGCGTACTACAGCTTTGAATATATATGGTCATTATAATTTAAATCAACTGAGGGAAATAACTTGAAAAACTAGCTCCAATTAATTGGAGCTAGCTAAAACTAACTCTACAAAACCATTTGTATGTTTTCAAAATGTTTTTTTCCATTTCTAAAATCAACATCGCTCCATCGCATCCAAAAACGCCCCACGAATCAAATAACAATAATAAAAATCTGATTATTTAAACTGTGTTGTAGTGGTTATAATGTTGCATAAACGTCAGTTTTGAAAATGTTGAATTTTCTGGGTTGTTTTTACAGGGTTAAAAATCCATTTGTAGAAGAGAGATAATGTGGAAACAATCTTTACAAAGTATTAAACATTTAGTAAGAAAATCACAGCCTCATTGCACAGCGTGACAACCAGAGAGAGGTCCAGGTCAAAATCCACCATCGTGCATCGCCGAGGGTTCTAGTGAAGGCAGGACCATACGTCAAACGTCCAGGAAGAGTTTGAGGCACAAAGAGACGCTCTGTGGTAAAAGGGCATCAGTAGAACAATTGGCAAACAGAATTACAATCCAAATAATGTCTCACACACACACACACACACATGCCATGCAGCGGCAGTGCCTGCAGCTACACGGGTAAATAATGGTGATTCAGGAAGATAGACAGAGAGCTGACAGGAGACAGAGAGCTCAGAGGGGAAACGGTGGACAGAATCAGCAGACAGGGATCAGACGCCGGCGACATCGACAGGCAGGAAGTTCACTGGAGGCAGACTAAAGGCAATCACTGTGAATATAATCACTGTTTTCACACATGTAGAGGACTTTAGTGTAGAAAAGGTAATCACAGAGGGGAGGGGCCACGTCAGCAACAGTAACAGTCCAGTTTGTATCATACACCATACACACTCGTTCACACACACACATAAATACATCCCATTAATTGTAACAAATGCAACTGATAACGTTGTTTCCCGGCTCAGGGAAGAGCTGTAACAAATAGTTGTGGCTGAGGGTGAGGCAGAAAGGGAGAAATGACAAGTGCCAAATGTCTTCATTAAATTCTCATTTCTGAAGTCTCGTTCTGTCTGCCTCTCTAAACTTTTAATAGCACTTAGTAAGTGTCTGAATCTCCGACTGTGCGACAGCCTTTCATTTCTCCGTCTCTATCTTTGTGTATTTTCCCCTGATGTTTTATTTCAGTGACATTTGACGCCGTCACATTGACAAGTCGGTAATCGTCTGTCTTTTCCTGACTTCCTGTTTCATTGGTCGACACCAGTCAAATAAAAAGCTCATATAAACCAACGTGGTCCACAGGCAGAAGCTCGACCAAATCTTTTATATTACAAAAACCTCTGTTTTGTTTGCACATTTTACCCTGTGACAGCTAACTCCTGTGGTGGTGCTGGTGGTGGTGTGGACCGTGGTCACAAACCTTGAACAAATGGACTGGGAGTGTTTTCCTCTTCCTCACATTATCCAAACTGTTTTGCGTTCAGAGCCAGTCAATTCTTTACCGTAGCGGTGACAGCTCTGGAAGCAGTTGTAACAATCATCGTGACATGGATATTTCCTTGTTTTGCAAGACGGTGACAAACAACATCCTGGGAATCGTTGACAGGCTGAATTTTGGTTTGTGGATTTGGAGAGGTGAATAAACAACATAAAAAAAAACATTGAAGCAAAACAAGAAAAAGCTTTACATCAGGAGTGACAGAGAAAACACTGTTCAATATATGGTGCTCAAAATGATATGTGATGTGTTCAAATGAGTGACAATGAAATAGAAAGTGAAGGACGTACACACAGTAGGAGCAGAAACTGTGGTTCAATGTCATTATTATTCTCATGTGTTTTAGTATATTGTGTGGTGTACATATATACTGTATGTGTATAGTGTATATTGTGGGACTAAGTTCCCACAACAATAGCTATTCACTTTAAGTGTCTCTGCAGGTAGAGCCTCAGTAGGAACACACAAAACACACAGTCATGTGACAACAACATACAGACCATCAGTGTTGTTGCCTCTCTCTCTCTCTCTCTCTCTCTCTGACAAACACTGATGTCCCCGTTTCAAACTGCTGAATTAAGGATTTTGGTGACGTACAGTTTCTGTGAGAGACAGCAGTGGGAAGGCAAACAATAACTCTTCACATCACCCAGAAACGCCACAGAAATATACAGTCTGACAAAGGCAACAAGAACAGCCACATTTGAACCGAACCTCGATCTGACAAAGTGTTTAAATATTACTGGAACCTCAGAGGACAGAACAACATCCACGTTTGATGATTTGTTTTTTTAAACTTAGTGTGCTTTTCACATCCAATAGGAAGTCTGTTACATGTTACTAACATCAGGCTGCTATAATTCTATGGAGAAACAAATGATAGTGATTTAAAAAAAAAATCTATTCAGTTTCTCTGAAATAAGCAGATGTTATTTCTCCTTTTTTAAATTTGAAGAATCACCCAAAGGGTAACTGTATTCTCGCTGTGAATATTAATTATTTCTCATGGACAGACAGAATTAATAAATCATAGACTTCACTGATACTGGGGAAAGAACAACACACTAACAATCACACATCCAAAACTGCACGGATGACTCCAGGGGCTTCTCTTCACGTTGTGGAGAGGGGTATGCTAAATAGTTTTGTAGTGAACTGTGTTACACTTTGATTGGTCCGTGTTTTTTAAGCCTTTGGAGAAAACATATAATTAAAAAGACAAAATGTATTTCAGATTATTTTCACCATCCTCCTCCTCCTGTCTTTCCAGGCGCCCACACTACTGACTCTGAAGACCTTAGGGCACCCTGGCAACACATGAGGCTGAAATACGATTGGGTAAAAAACTTGAGGATACACGACTATCAGCAGAGCAATCAAGTGAACGGTTAGCATATTGGAATTAGTGTGTTTGGAATAAGAAGTCATTATTTTGCAAATAGCAATTTGCAAGACACTTAGCATTTAACTCACAGCAGTGTCAGTGGTTTTAAAGTTTGTGTTTAACATTATTTTGTAATAACTTGTGTTTAACCCCCTCATCAAACTAACCTTATACTCATCACATTTATGACAATGTTTTAATTCAATTTTTCATTTTTCTTTCATGGAAAAGATTTCTTTTTCCGTTTCATGTCTGGAGTTTTTGATAGAGTGCAGTCAGTCGCGACCGTCCTTCCAAATGACACACTGTGTAGTTTTGTAACCCTGGAGGAGGCAGGGCCATCAAAGACTTTAACGGATTATGGAAAGTAGTTCTCAGTGATAAATCTGGATCAGGATTTGTTTCGACACATTCACATTCTGTCTCACACAGAGGGGAAACTGAAGACGAGGTTGACACACACTTCAACTTATTGCCACAGTCCAAACTGTAAAATTAGAAAGAAGGCACATTAACCTCCTCCACAGTAACACACACGTCCGCAGACGCACACATGTGGATTTTGAAACTCTTTGGTACCGATCCCGCCATCAGCTTGTAACATCGACTGGAATTGTGTAACAGAGTGAAGTTTGTGATAAAAGTTGCCCTTTGCCTTTTTTGATTTGTTTTGATACCGCCGTAGTGTGTTTTATAAAACTCTCCCGACGTTCGTTCTGCCAGGCCTTTGTGTTTTCACTCCTGCCTGCAGGTTTCTCGGCAGCACGCTCTTCTAACAAAGAACAACGTTGAATGTAGAGGGAATAACCACATCACAAACATCTCTCCCCCTTTAAAAAAATGACAAGTGAAAGTCAGAAGAAAACCTGACTCCATTGACTGTATCCTGTCCTTCACACTGGGAAACAGTGGAACAACCTTGAAAACAAACTCTCATTAGTGATGCACAGGACAGACACCACTGCACCACAGGCCCACAAGTAGCCGTGAATACTTCTTCAATTAGACAAAACTTTCTTTTTTGGGCTACGCCCTGCACGATGACCTGTTAAGATTCAAGTACTGAAAACTACAAGCAAACGGAATTAGCTAAAGTTGGGGAAGAGTGGGGAGAACAAAAACAACAACAGGGGGCAGTGTAACAGTCTTTCGTTGTTAGTACCACAGCTTTTGCCAAAGAAACGTTGGGGTATTTGTCCACTCTGCTCGCCAACAATTTCCTGTGCAAACTAG